ATATTTCTTTCTCTCTTCCTCTTCTACCAATTCTTTACCACCCCTCCTGTCTTATCTCTCATAATTTCTTCTCCCTTCTCTTCCTTCTTCTACTCACCATTATGAATGATGGAAATTGAAAAGGTATCATGCAAACTAATGCCATATTTTTCATGAATCCGTTTTTTCAGGCTAAGCATATTTTACAAGACTTATTCAGATAAAAGATTAAGTTAATGGGCAGCCTTAATGTTAAATGACACAAATAATGTTCTGTATGCTAACTTGTGGTATTGCTTTTAAAGTGTAAGTGCATTTCTATGCAGTCATGCCCATTTTGGCTACACCGTTTCAAATTCAATTTCTTTCCAGCTGCTAACAATTCTGACCTAATTGGTAAGTTATACACTTGGGTAACATGGCAACAGCCCTTTGAGGCCATTCCAAATCATGACCAGGAAGAGAATCATAATTTTTTTAGAAATGTCCTCACTGCAATGATAACTAATGGAAGAAATGAAGGAGTCCTTTGTTTGTCCTTGTTGACTATATTGCAAAAGGGAGTTTATTCAATAGCATTATGTAAATGTTCCTTTGGTACTAGTGAAACATACTGAATATATTTTAATGCATGAAATAAGATTGAGGGCTTATATCAAAGCAGCTGATTGGCCATTTTATTATTTTATTATATAGAAAGAGTAGCTAGCCATTTGGTGCCTTGGTCACCCCCATGGTCTAATGTATTGATTTTCTATTGCTGTTGTAATAAATTACCACAAACCTGAAAAACATAAATTTATTATCTTACTGGCCTATAGTGGGAAGTCTAACATAGGTTTCATTGGGCTACAATCAAGTGTTGTATGGCTGTGTTCCTTTCTGAAGGATCTGGGAGAGAATCCATTTCCCTGCCTTTTCCAGCTTCTAGAAGTTGCCCCCTAGGTCATGGCACCCTTCCCCCATGTTTAAAGCCAGCAGTCCTGGGTCAAGTCTGATTCTCTCCCCCAGGGAATGGTCCCTGGTTTTAAGATCGAATTTGATTAGATCCGTACAGATTAAGGGTCCAAGGGTTAGAGGTCATCTTTGGAGGACCAGTATTCTAACTGCCACATCTCTGTTTAGCTGTTGGAAATAGCTAGAAGAGTTTTCTTTTTAGAAGTATTCCCATGACATTCTCATTCTTTTCAACTCCATATTTTATAAACTGGCTTCCTAAATTACTTCTGTTCTCCATTTCATTCTCTCAAAGTATGTGAGAGAATGGTCAGTTCCTCATTGATGTCTCCTCTCCCTTCCCCCCTTTTCTGCTTAACAGTTTATAAATCAGTTCTAGTCCTCTAATTCTACTGGATTTCTGTATATTTTAGATGTCATTTTTCTTCCTTGCTACATATCCTCTTGTGTGCTACCCTTTTTGTTGCCTTATGTGTGATTTCAATACATATCCCTCTAGATACATGTTTTGTGTCTGTCCCAGAAATAGGTCAGAAAAGATGGCGATTGACTAATGTCAACCCTCTTCTCCCAAGTGAACACCTATAATCCCACTATTTTTATTTTACTACAGGTGATATAACTGCATGATTTTCATCAGAAACATATCTGTCAAGTTACTGTATTTTTGCCTTTGGTGATGGGCTGGATGTGAGAGATAGTGGACACAATTCATCTCATCTCTATTAATTGTACCTGTGTTTCTGGCTAAGATGGTATATTAATTCTTCAGGAAGTTACCATCATGGTCATAGAGAAAAACTTTTTTCTCGTGATCTTCAATTTCATGTTTTGGCGAAAAAAATTTTTTTTGATTGCCTGAGTTTGCATTTTATGTAAATTCAGGTAACGAATATGTGTGCCCTAGTTTAAAATGTTATGTTGACATTTTTGGAGAAGAAAATTCTCCAGCATTACAAATGCATCCCTGAAAATGTTCTCTAAAATGTAATTTTTAGTCTACACTAGAAACCAACAGCAAGATATTTTTCTATCTATACCATTATGTCTAAAATTATATTTTCCCTTCCATATATGTATAAATCTGTCTGAAAAATTTACTCCTTTTTCAGCAACTATTCAAGAAGGATTTCAGAATTTCAAAGCTATTTCCAAATATGCATTATTTGTAAGCATCTTAATTTGGAGGGATTACACAGAAATATAGCACTATTTTTAGAGTTCAGTAATTCATTAACATATACAAAGTACTTAATACTACTATCATTTATCTTCTTTTAAAATTTTACATCATTTATACTTCCTATAGCTTTTTTCCCAAGTAGGGATAATTCAGTAACAGACCAGAGGTCACCTGAATGCATTAAAGGTTCTATAAGTAAGAAGCTAAGCTTTAATAATATAGAGCTGCATTAGAGCCCAGTGAGTTAATGTATGAGGTGTAGGGTGTGTTTGAAGGTCTCTGATGGGGGAAATTATAATGAAAACTCTTTCAATGCTAACTAAAATAAAACCAGATGATCCTCAAAATATACATTATTTGTCAGAGGTGGCAAAGGGTTCCTAGGAATTCTTAAAATTGATTGTACATAAGAATCACTCAAGGAACTCATTAAATATGAGGATCTCTGACCTCATTTCCAGAGATGCAGATTTTGTGAGCTGGGGAAAGATTCAGGAACTTCCCTTCTGATGAATCTGATGCTTGCGGTTCTTGAGATAGTCTTTGAAACCCTGGGTTAGGGCAAGTTAAAGAAATGGAGAAAGGACTGATAGGAAGAGAAATGGCTTAGAGAAGGAACACGCTAACAGACCCAAATGGGGGCAGGGTGATCTTGGATGAAACTGGTGACAAGATACCCAAGAGTTGCAGTGAGGGCAGGATCCTCTGCTCCACCAGCCTGTCCTCTAGGTTTTGAGAGGGACAACCGATGTTTCTCAAGTTTGTGTGAAGTTTAGCAAACACAACTTCAAGACAGGCCCCTCGCCCTTCCTCCCACCTGCAAGCCTCCTCTTATAAAGACTTGTGCAAATTTCACTGAACTCAGGGCCTGAAAACTACATAACTAGCTCTTTAGAACTCATTTCTATAGAAAACAGACTTGTCCTGCCTTCATTGTCTTTATTCCTAAAGATTTAAATCAGGAACAGCCTGGTGTGCTCAACAGGCCTCTCTCCAAGGCCATTGAGTGGTCTGCCCAGAGTTATCCCTTAGAAGACTTTCAGAGTAAAATCAGTTCACTGATCACTGGGTAAGGAAGGGGAAGGATATGATTCTCTCTTGCTTAGATGCAACTCCTGACAGATACTGGGGGGGGGGGGGGGGGACAGTGCAGCAAGTGAAGGCCTGATGAGCAGGTAGAGGGTCTTCAAAAGCTCCAAAAGGCTCCTGTCTCCCCAGGGTGGGTCTGTTTGCCTTCAGCGGGGCAGCCATTGGCCGAAGCTGAGCAAGGAAGCTTCTCACTCAGGCAGCTCAGCTTCCCATCCTTTCTGATTCTGTTTGTTTAGGTTTTTCATGCAGCTGACTTCTTAGAAGGCCCCTCCTTCCCAGGGAATTCACTAATCAAGGTGATACTCTATTTCCATAAACAAAGCCTATGAAAGAGCAGCTCATTCATGAACTAAGAAATGTGATCGTTTCCACGGTGGAACCGCGTGCTTCAAAGCACCATTGTTGTTGTTCACATCAATTAATCCAGGTTACGGGAAATGTGAGTAAAACAGGACTAACATACATCCCAGCTGACTTTACAAGATAAAAACAAAAACAAAACAAACCTAAGACATCTAAACTCATGTTGTCTTAAGCATGTTAAGAACTTGCTTCGTAGGAAAGAATCATCACAGTACAAAGGAGAGGACTGTTACATCTTCTTAGAATGAAGTAATTTTATTCCATAGAATTTAACGGAGCTTGGAAACTTTCAGGCAGCCTCTCCCTTGGCGCTGGGAATATCCTGGGAAGGAATACCTCCTCCAGGTAGAGTGAGTGCCATGCGAGTCCCTAGCTAGGGAATATGGAGAATATTAGAATATTTTATTATTAGAATATTTTTATGATCTAAGTAAAGACAGATATTGAATTTTAAAACAAAACATTTATTAGATCTAATTAATTACTGATAGTTTTAATACTTCATTCAAAGGACACACAGTTCATGACTAAAAAGAAAAAGGATATAGTCATTTGGCAGTTATTCCTTCCAAATAACAAATTGTTTAAGTTCTAAGGCTAAGGAAAACAAATTTGATAAGGTTTTAAAAGAAAGTTACAACAGAATGTACCTGAATTAAGTGAGATGGTTGAAATGATAATCAATAAAGTCCTTTGCAGGAAAATGAAATTGATCTATCTCCCACACATTCCGCTTGCCCCAACTAAACTTCCTTTAAAAAAAAAAAAGAGAGAGAGAGAGATAATTCACATACTATAAAAGTCACCCTTTTAAGTAGTATAAAGTTCTGTGGTTTTTGAAACTTCACAAAGTTATACAACCTCACCACTACCTAATTCCAGAATATTTTATCAAATATATTGGGGTTGGAAAAGAAACCAACCCCAACCCATTAGCAGACACTCCTTATTCTTTCCTCCCCCTAGTCCCCTGGCAAATACTAATCTATTTTCTGTCAATATAGACTTGCTCATTCTGGGTACTACATATAAATGAAATCATACATGTGGCTTTTGGATCTGGTTATCACCTAGCATGATTTCTAAGTTCATTCACTTCACTTCTTCTGGCTGAATAATATTCCACTGTATGGATTTACTACATTTTGCTTATCTCTTCCTCAACATGGGTTGTTTCCACTTTGTACTATTATGACTAATGCTGTTATGTACATTTGTGTACAAGTGTGTACATTTGTGTACAAGTGTGTACATTTGTGTACAAGAGTCGTTCTAGGTCATATGGCAACTCTATGTCTAATTTTTTGAGGAGCCACTAAGCTGTTTTCCAAAGTGGTCTCACCTTTTTTCACCCCCACCGACAATGTATGAGGGTTCTGATTTCTTCATATCCTCTTTAACACTGTTACTCTTTTTTTTTTTCTTATAGTCGTTTCCATGAGTGTGAAATGGTATCTTACTGTGGTTTTGATTTGCACTTTGCTTTTTTTCAATATTTTGAAATTAATTCAATGGTGACAAAAGGAAGTGCCCTGGTCAGAGTGCTCAGTGGTTAGAGCACGGCCCCACAGACTGAAGGGTCTTAGGTTTGATTCTGGTCAAGAGCATGTACCTGGGTTATAGGTTCCGTCCCAGGTCTGGGTCAGGGCACCTGATGGAGGCAACTAATTGATGTGTCTCTCTCACATCAATGTTTCTTTCTCCCTCTCTCTTGTCAGAGGGGTGGGGTTTGAGAGCTGGGTGTGAAGGGTAAAGGGATTAAGGAAAGATAAAAAGGAAGACCCATGGACACAGACAACAGTATGGAGGTAGAAGAAGGTAAAGGGGGAGTAAATCATGATGGAAAGAGACTAGACTTTGGGTGGTAAACACAATATACAGATGACATAGAATTGTATGCCTGAAACCTGTATTATTTTATTAACCTATGTCACCCCAATAAATTCAATAAAAAATAAAAGTGACTCCCAGAATTAAAAAAAAAAAATTCTCAGATTTTAACCCATCTGCTCTGGAAACCAGGTTTCCCTCAACTTACACTTTCTGATCTAACTGGAAGCCTTTATTTGCATTCCTGATCAATGTAATCTTGTTTTCTGCAGAAAAAGATAATTTTCTCTCGCCAGACTCAAATGATCAACCTCAAGTTTAAGTCTGTCATACATCATAGCTGCTCTGTGGACCAATTTGATGTCATCTGTGTATCAGGGATAAGGTGAAATATGTGCACTTGCCTTTTTAGTCTAATTATGTACTTTGTGCCATGGGAAGGAAATATCCAGTACGTTTAATTATTTATTGGGAAATTTTGGTTGTTCTTCTGATTTAAGACTCTAAAACATCACAGTTCTCTTCCTCTCCACCTCCCACCAAAGTTTTACATAGTTGTGGAAAAATATGTCATCAATTAATATGTGTCCTCTGCTGATATGTCTCCCTAACCTCCATAGACCCAGGTATGTGTCCCCACTGTACACTCTTGTAGCACCCTGCACATTTATTATTGTAGAACTTGCCACCTTTCAAGTAATCATTTGAATAATTACTTCTTCTTTACTAGTCTACCATCTCCGTTTTACTCAACATCTCAGCAGCTTAGCACGTTGCCTGACTAAAATTTTGAGTCAAACCTACCTTAGGTCAAATACATAATATGTATAAATACTATATTCTTTCATGTGGTTCCACCACTGGGTCAGTAACTAAAAAGAGGGGCTATGCTGTCTCAAAATAGCAAGACATTCTCTAAGGGCCTGTTAGGGCAGTCAGCAAATCCAGTGATTTCTCTCATACACCATTTCAGGTTTATTATAAACTGATCAAATAAGAATGTATATTCAGTAACATTAAAAACCTCCTAAAGTATGGAATCTAACATTTTATCCATACACAAAACATTAACCTGGAATTTAATGATTTCAAGACTTACTTTTATTGGTTGCCCTACGTAACTCTAGGCTGCAATACTGAGTGGACTGGGCACTATTCAAGGGGTTTTGTTCCCGAAGAAGTAAAAAAATCTTATACGAAGCCACTCACACTCCAGGGGAGGTCCCTTAGCAGGAAGTCTAAGGAAAGTGTGGTGATGAGAACTCAGTATAATTTGGTTTTTAAAATTTCCACTCTGTAAGATATCCCCGTGATATAAATATTCCTAATTAGCACAGAATTTCTGTGCCTTCGCACAAAGCACTGCGGTGCAATTTAAGGCTGCTTCAAATGATCTTAACTTGTCCCATTTGGCAAGCTAAGCCAGGGCCTGAAGAAACGGAGAGCTGCAGTCTGCAGGAGTGCGGGCGGGCTGCGGGAGCTCCCTCCAGATCTGAGAGAGCCTTTCTGTTGACCTTACACTGAATTCTTATGTTTGAATATATCATCAGGATGCAATAGCCAGCTTCTGGCTCACTGACGAGAGAAACTTCTGGAACATCAAGGCAGAAAAGTATACCAAGTGGAAAACTACCAAAACTAAAGTTTTTCAAATATGATTCTCTTCCGAACATACATTCACATAAGCAGCTCTGATAAAAAGTAGGTTTTCTGTTAGCAGATGCCGAAGAGAAAAAATATTGCTCATGCTTGCTCTCTTCCTTTTTAGCTAGCTACTGGCTGCCATGAAAAAGAAAACATTTCTATATTTCCTGAACCCACCCAATATGTTTTGATGTCTTGACACCTATATTTATGCTCTGCCCCAAAGTGCATGATATGAAGGATTTATTATAAACCCTGAGCTTTATTTTCTGAATCAGAACAGCAGTCATCATGGATTCACATGCTCCCAGCTGTGTCTGGGCTACGACTTGGTCCTGTTCTCTAGAAATTTACAATGGAAAAGATGTCATTCGAGAAGAGAGATATTTCCCTCATACTTTCTTCTACCACCATAAAAAATTATAAAATAAAGAGTAAGAATTAAGAACATAAACAAACATTACAATAATTAAAAACCCACAGGATTTGGAAAATTGTCAAGAAAATTTGGAAGAGGGAAGAAAACAAATTAGGCAAAAGGTAAAGAAAAGTGGAACTGCCCAACTAGTGTGGCTCAGTGGTTGAGTGTTGACCCATAAACCAGAAGGTCACCAGTTTGATTCTGGTCAGGACACATGCCCAGGTTAGAGGCTTGATCCCCAGTAGGGGGTGTGCAGGAGGCAGCCGATCAATGATTGTCATCATTGATGTTTCTCTCTCTCTCCCTCTCCTTTTCCCTCTTAGTTCATATATATCTATATATCTATTGAACTAAGGATATCAATAGATTAAGAAATGACTGCGTATGGCAAATAAGATCACACTATGATTAAAAAATGCCTGAATAACTAGAACACCGGCAAAATTTGTTTTAATGAGAACCAAGGCACCTCCTGGAAACAACTCACCTTAAGATTTAAGTCAATTCCCCCCAAGTTGGATTAGTGACGAAGCATCCGGAGTGAGATTTTACAACTACTGTCCTTGGATGGATCCCATGAAATTGTACCTAAAGCCTACCAAGAAGGCAGCCTGCAAATGGACACTAAAAGTGCTGTTTTCATTAAAATCTGTAAAAGACTGTAGTGGCACACTTCCCCACTGCACTGACAAAGCGCACCATGAACGGGGTGCCCTACTGCATTAGAGAGTTCACAGTGACTGTGGAGCTGAGAGTGTTGGCTCATTGGCAGCTGCGGCAATGTGAGTGCACCTGGTTCACTTCGGAGAGCTATCACATTACCCCACCATCAGTGCAGGTGGAACGGACTGGCTTCAACTGTAAAGGGAAGTGGCCCAGTGCCAGTGTAGGCAGCGGAGAGGTTGCAGGAGTGTCGCCATGGATGCTGCAAGCTTCAGAAGCCCATCTCAGGAAGAGGGAAGTGGTGGGCATCAGACCATAGCTGCGAGGGCCATGTTCTTGAGCCCATGAGACAACTTTCCGAGCTCCTGAAATTACTGGGTGAGGGTGAATTTTGACTGAGAGAATTAACCATGGTTAAGTCTAGGGTGTGGGTTATGAATCGGGTAACATGCAATTTGTCGTCCCAACAGGAATGACGTTGAGAATGAAGGGTGTGTGCTACTAATAATTATGCTGAGACAACAGATGCAAAACAAACTGGAAAGGATAGTAACTCCAGGAGGAACTGTCACTTTCAACTCTGCTCGTTTTGTAAGGTTTGATGTGTTAGCCTAAGCATGTATTTTTTAAATCAGATGCAGTAAGGAGAATGAGGTCTCAGAAGAATGGCAAGACAAAGATAGAAGCATAATGTCTGTACGCTGACCCTAGTAACCCCCTTCCTGACCCCACATTATAGTCTAGAAAATTATGGCTGTAAAATTATTATATCTGTTAACTGTCCATCACTCACTGGCAACCCCTAAGCATCCTACCTTGCTTAGCATGGTCACACTGCCCCCACAGTTGTGGTGTTCCCCACTTTAGATACTTGATTTTACTCTCTGCTTTGTGATCCTTCTGGGACAGTAGCCTTTGAAGGCCCAAAGGGATGTTTTTATATTAAACTCCCAGGGGGTCAAGTTTAGAAACACAATGCTTCTCACCCCAGCTGGCCACACCCATCAGTGCTGTCAAGGTACTAATGGCAGGAAATGTCTTACAAATATAATCCCCCTGACAGCAAGATCCTATTTTACTTTGTTCCTCATTCATGAAGAGCAGTTGGCTTCTTTTTTAAGTTGAGGTAGCTTGAAGTTTCCATTTCAAATTATACTTGTTTTATTTCAAGTAATTTTATAATTTTTATAAAGTTTCAATGTCCGAAATTGCACTCTTCCTCTGTCCAGAGGTCTGGTACAGAAGAACTATGCAGTTTTCTGCCCTTGACCCAGCTCACTTCCCTGAACAACACCTCTGTGAGAGAAATGATGCTTGGCGACTTGGCGCCCCTGTGCCCACACAGGTGCAAATAATGCTGGAGTTGATGTGATACAGGACAGCAGAGGTTGATGTGATACAGGACAGCTGCTAGTCCACTGACTCCAGGTCTGATCACTCTACAGAAGTTGAGAAGCAGCTATCGACTGCAAAAGTCAATGCCCAGAAAGGGTAGTAGGTGACTATTTGGTTTGACTTAAGATCCCTGCCCTGCATTTTTCTAAAAATTCTCTTTATTAACCTTCCTAGTAATCTAAGAACTATGAGGGTATGAATTGTTGTGTTTTGTCCACAGGAATATCTCTATAACAGTACCTGGCATATAGTAGATGCTCAAAAATAACTGTTTAATAAAAAAAAATATTTCCTTATCTTTAAAACAGGGATAGTAATAGTGCCTGTAGCCAGGGTGGATATTTAGCTGGCATCCATTGTGATATATAATTTCAATGTTACAGGGTTGTTGTAAGGATTGCATGAGTTAAAACATGTACAGCGCTAACAACAGAACCCAACACACAACAAGTGGTCACCAGTAGGAAGACAGGGAGGTGGCATCCAGGAAGACTGGGGAACAGTGCACAGTGCAGGAGCCCAGTAGTAGGCACCTCAGATCTGAGAAGCAGTAACAGGGTTTGTGCTCAGTCCAACCTGATGTGGGGAAGGACAGTTGCTAAGAATGCTGTCCTGTGCTCAGGCCTGAACTTCACTGCTGGATAAGGGATTATGGGGGCCGGTGGGTGGGTTCTGAAAAAACTGGGGACAAGATAGGCAAGGGCAAAGAGGTAGCAGCTAAAGTTAAATGCACTCCCCACACCCACCTTCCAGGAGCTTGTTTATGATTCAACTATTAGTTCTCTAGTCTTTTGATTTAATACGTTGTGTATTCAGTATCAGTTCTCTGTGGAAATGCAAATGCCTGAGAGCTGGAGGTCCTACATTAACCGGTCACCAGTAAATGGCATTTATATCATCAGCACAGGCATGAGTTCTCTTGGTAAGGAGACAGCAAAGTTCTGAGAGAATGGGCCACATGGCAGATAAATTTGATCATGGGGTCCGGAGATCACCAGAGCACGGGACAGTGCCCGAGAAGGGGCAGCCTGTCAGGGAGGAGCACTACGAGTGGAAAGAGGCTGAGTGGCTAAGGTTGAGGGGTGGAGGGAGCAGGATATGAGCAGAACAGGTAGGAGGGATCTATTACCAAAATATCTATTGTCTACCTGGGAATAAACCATGTTACAAAGATGAGAAGCTCAAGATTATTCTCACGTTTCAATGGAATTGCTCTCTTCCTTTTCCTAATGGAAGCTACAGTACCTGGGACCCTTTGGTCAAGTT